GCCGGTTGAGCTATAGGCGCCGAGCCTATTTATTTATTTTTGAGGCAGAGTCTTACTATGTCACCCTCAGTAGTGTGCCATGGTGTCACAGCAACGGGCTTACATGATTCTCTTGCCCCAGCCTCCCAAGTACCTGGGACTACAGGCACCCACCACAATGCCCAGCTATTTTTTATTGTTGTTGTAATTGTTTTTTAGCAGGCCTAGGCCAGGTTCGAACCTGCCAGCCTCAGTGTATGTGGCCAGTACCCTAACCACTGAGCTATGGGTGCTAAGCCTAATTTTTCCGTTTTTAGTAGAGATAGGGTCTTGAGCTTGCTCAAGGTAGTCTCCAACTCCTGAGCTCAAATGATCCATGCCCCCTTGGCCTCCCAGAGTGCTAGGATTACAGGTGTGAGCCAGTAACTGATTAATTAGGGGGGTTGTCTCAATTCTTTGTGTGGGAAAAAGGAATGTATGAGGAGGGCCCAGGGCCCCTTTTCATTTTGGGTGGGACGGGTGAGAAAACACCTTGGCAAAATTGTGGTATTTAAGATGATATTGGAACCAAAAAGAGTCCAGGCCAGAAAAAACTGGGAAATGTGGAATGGGTAGTTGGGCTCCTTGGAAGAGCCCCTGATTTGTCTTTCAGTGTCCTTTTTGTCTTGGGAAAAAGCTGCCTGGTAACTAGTCCTCTTTATGGTCATTTCACTGTCCCTCCCAAGGGCCCTCTGTTTCTTTCTCAGTGGCCTCTGCATTACCTTCTCTCTGTTTGGAGTGGTATGATAGGTCCAGTGTTTGTTGTGACACAGGCAGTCCTGAGTTTGGATTTCCTTGAAGCTCTCATTTGTTTATCCATTCAACAAATATTTACCAAGTACCTAGGAGATGCCAGGTGCTATTAGAGGGATGGGAACATGCCACTGTGAAAATGGCAAAAAGGGGCTCTGGTGCCTGTAGCTCAAGCAGCTAAGGCCCTAGCCACATATACCAGAGCTGGCAGGTTTGAACCCAGCCCGGCCTGCCAAACAACAACAATTACAACCAAAAAATAGCTGGGCGTTGTAGCGGGTGCCTGTAGTCCCAGCTACTTGGGAGGCTGAGGCAAGAGAATCAATCGCTTAAGCCCAGGAGCTGGAGGTTGCTGTGAACTGTGATGCCATGGCATTCTACCCAGGGTGACAGCTTGAGGCTCTGTCTCAAAAAAAAAAGATAGAAAGAAAATGGCAAAAAGGTTCCTATACACATGGAGTTTATTTTCCTGTGAGTAAATGGATTTGTGATCTGAGATCATATTATTTAGAAGCAATGAAGGAAATAAAACAATAAAAGGGAATAGAGAATACCTGGAAGGAGAAGAAAGAACTGAATGATGAGATGAAGTGAGCCATTTGTAACTGTGGGGTCTTGTGATGGAAATGAGCTTGGTGATTCAGGACCAGCAGGAGTGTCAGAGACTGAAGTATGGGAGTGGGGTGAGCTCAGGAAGGTTTCCAGGAGCCACATCACATAGGGTCTTATGGCTATGACAGGCATTTTGGATTTTAAGTCTCCTGAGAAGCCAGTGGTAGGTTTTTTTTTTTTTTTTTTTTTTTTGCAGTTTTTGGCTGGGGCTGGGTTTGAACCCACCCCTTCCGGCCTTTGGGGCCGGCGCCCTACTCCTTTGAGCCACAGGCACCACCTGTAGGTTTTTTTTTTTTTTTTTTTTTTTTTAAATAAGAGACAGAGTCTCACTTTGTCGCCCTCGATAGAGTTGAGGTGTCTCTAGAGCCATGGTGTCACAGCTCATAGCAACCTCCAATTCCTGGGCTTAGATAATTCTCTTGCCTCAGCCTCCTGAGTAGCTGGGACTACAGGTGCCCACCACAATGCCCAGCTATTTTTTTGTTGCAGTTTGGCCTGGGCTGGGTTCGAACCCGCCACCCTCGTTATATAGGGCCGGCACCCTACCCACTGAGCCACAGGTGCCGCCCAGTCGTAGGTTTTGAACAGAGGAGTGACAAGGGTGGATTTTAGAAGTTTACCTACTAAGTAGGGAATAAGTGATGGAGGGTGGGCAAGAAAGGAAGCAGCCAGCAGCCAGAGCCTATTTCAGTAGTGTAGGAGAATAATTAGAGTTGTTCAGAGTAGGGTAGTAGAGGTAGAGGTGGTGAGTGGGGCCAGAAACAGGATATATTTTGAAGGCAGAGAAAATGAGATTGCTGATAGTTTGTACTTGCTACCTAAAAGCAAACAAAGAAGAACTTCCAGGTTTTTGTCTTGAGCAACTGGGAATTCTGTGATGGGAAAATGGGAGAGAAGCAGATTGGAAGGGTTGGAAGCAGGGAACCAGAAGTTAAGTTTGAGATTCTTCTTAAATACCCCTAGTGGTGGGCAGCGCCTGTGGCTCAAAGGAGTAGGGTGCTGGCCCCCTATGCCAGAGGTGGCAGGTTCAAACCCAGCCCCGGCCGAAAACTGCAAAAAAAAAAAAAAAAAATCCCTAGTGGAGATGCTGAATAGACACTGGGTATAAGAGTCAGGAGCTTAGAGGAGACAAAAGGACTGAAGATTTGAATTTAGGAAGTATTTAAAATTGGGGCACCATTGATGATACAAGCAGTATTTAAAGCCATGGGATTGGGTGAAATGTAAGGCAAGAGGTAGGTATAGAAGAGGAAGCCAAGGACTGAGCCACAGTATAAGCAGCATTTAGAGGTTGAATAAAGGAGAGTAAGGAGGAAAACCCAGGGAGTATTCCAGAAGTCAAATGAAAAAAGTATTCAAAGAGGAAAGGTGGCATGAGCTGTGTCAAATATTGCTGACAGGTTGAGTAAGAGGAGAATAGAGACTTGCTCAGCAGGCTTGGTAATTCGAAGATCAGTGGTTTCAGTGGAATGGG